AATGCACCTGTAGTTAGTTTGGAAAAACACAAAATTCGGCGTAGAATTATGATTATGAATTACTAGATAGTGGTTTATTCCATGGTTATCATCCAGAGGTTTATCCAAGAATGTGTGAAGGGAAGGGTAGCAAGACCCCCTATGTAATTTTAAATCTAATATTGTTATCTGGGGTTACAAAAATTCTAGGATTCGTCCTAAGCTCCCATTTATACGATCCCATCTATGGACACTCCAAAATGGTGTTAAGCGATTCTAATATATAATAAGATATTACAACGAGAAAGATGTTATTAAATATTCCAAAAATGTTATTTTTAGCTTAATAAGCGAAATATGATAATGGGACAGATGTACATAGTTTTAATATGTATTTAGCCTATTAAAAAAAAAACGAATGGGAGTTTTCGTAGATTTTACCATATAACTTTTCTACTTCTCATCATTTGAATCTTAAGAATTCATTCTTTGCTCTTATTGGTCTTGCCACAAATGGTGACATTCGGTACCACCCATCTTTTTCGTCAGATATAGAATTGAGATAATCGTGCCCCTTGCAAGTCTTTCAGACAGTAGTGCATTATATCCCTGCATTTCAAAAGGAGCAAGATAATGTAAACCTTTTTTAACATGTACACGATAGTCGAGATAGGTAGACGGAGTTGAGAAGTTCTTGTCGAACCGGTGGATTAACCGTAGTGATGGGAGTTAACCCATTGGCGTTAATTTTCCATACCTATCTCTCTGAATTAAGTACACTTTTAAATGAGCTCTAAAGGATTGGTGGATGAGCAGCCCCTTTTGTTAGAATCAATGTCAAAATTAGTTGAAAGTGTCTTCTAGAAGAGACCAACCCTCACTTGATTTGGATATTGTCTGCTCCCAACCATGTATAGGGCCAACCTGCTTCTGCAACTTCGCCAAGCGTTGTTACCCGTCAGAACACAGTGATATCTACATTGATTGGAGTAAACAGCATGAGTAGTTTTAGGCTACATGAATAGATTTTCGACTTTTCTACATCACGCTTTCTTCATCAAACTGCGCTAGTGGGTGCGGACCTATTTTAAATCCAAAGTATGATTAAAAAATGAGGCTTGGATTTAATGTGGAGTATCGCGTGCTGACTGAGGGGGGCAAATTCTTCTTTAATCATTGCTGGTGCCATCACAGCTCGCAATTAAGGACTAAGTAAGAACTAGATAACAATTTTACCATAACAATTATGTTTTGCAAAAAAATCATCCAAACTGTAAAAAGGGTGGTCAGCAAGCCAAACCATCAACTTTTGTTTTAGCCGAGTAAAAGGAATGTCAGGTATTTCACTTGCAAAACAATTTACTATTTTTTAGATGTTGCTCTCATGAGCACTTGTTCATAGGCCATGCTGCAGGATCCATGACGTCACTCTAGTGGATAGATTCACTGCCATATCCCCTATGTTTTTGGTAATTAGGCTGGTTGTTTTCCAGATTTCAATGGTAAGATTTTAAACTTCGGAAACTTGACAAGCATCTGTTCTAGTGTTAACAATCAATGTTAAATGGTGAAGCCGATCTTAATTAATTGGAAAACATTCTACGCAGACGTTTATGCTCTACAGGAAACTACTACAGGAACATTTTTTTTATAGCATGCGTTAGGAGATGTAAGCCAAAAACTGAAAGATGAATACAGAGATAGATCTTATATAATGGGTGGTTGGGATATGAATCCTTGAATTTTCGGAACCTCAGACAACAATATTGGACTTAAAATTACATAGGGTGTCTTACTCTCATCACACCTTATTAGATAAACCTCTGGATGACCATCATGGAATAAACCACTATCTAATAATTCATAATCCATTTAAGGACAGGATCTATGTTGTTACCAATTTTAGTTAAAATTCCCAACTTTAACTTTAATACTTTTTTCAATGAAATGGCGACCATACGAAGTAAGTAACAATCAATTACCGTTATTGATTAATCAAAAAAACAATATACGCAGAATTTTGTGTTTTCCAAACTAACTACAGTCGCATTTTTGTATAGCATGCGTCGTTTGGGAGTTGTAAGCCGAAAACTGGTCAAATAATCAACCTTTTGGCCATGTTGATGAAAATATCCCAACTTTGAAAAGCTACAGCGGCTAAACGGCTCGGCCGATTTCGACGTATTTAACATCAATCGATGCGGAATTTAATGCGCTAAAAGACACCTTCGAACAACATTTTCCTTAGGATTCGTTATTTAGGAGTTATAAGCGAAAAACTGAAAAAAGTGCAAAATTTTCATAGTTTTTCGACTCCCAAAACTTAAGCAGACGTCAGAATCCGTCGCAAACTCACAGGAGTCTTATTTGGGACCCCCAAGAAAGGTATTAAAACACTTTCCAGCTTTAGACGATTTTTTGGGGAGCACACCCTAAATTTGATCTAATTTGCCTGGACTATATTACTAATAAGGGAAAACTATTGTTAATATGTCAAAAAATAAATTTCCATTTGCCTGACTGGATCATTAGAAAAATACTTCCTAAAAATGTAAGATAGATTCTGTATTTAAATACGGTTAAATTTAACGAGTACTAGGTTTACTGCTATGTGGAGAGAAATAAAGCGTGTATTTATGTTAAATATCATTAGCTTAGTATGAAATAAATAAACTTGCCAAGTTTGATCAAAATATATCCATAAATAAGCAAACTGCAACAATTTTATTTTCCTCCATAAGAATAACATGGAAATTTTAAATTTAATACTAACTTTTATTATTTATCTCAATAACCGTTAGAGATAGAGCAAACCTTGTAATATAAAAAAGATGTATTTTTAGACGTTCTTTAACTTTTGTATTTACTAAAATTGTCCAATACCAATAGTTTGGGAAATATTGTCAAAAAAGTGAAAATTGGCCGCCATTTTCCAAGATGGCGGCTGATGCACAGCCGGGATTTATGGGGACTTTTGATATTTTATTTGTTTAGGCTTACTGAACAACTGTACAAAGTTTCCACTTAGTCCGAATTTGTTAGGTCGAATGGCAGTTTTATCCCTAAAATTCTTGGACTAATGGGGAATGTTTGTAGGCTCAGTATACTAATAATATTTAAATTTATTGACATTTATTTACAATCCCTTTCATCTAGGAAACTTAAAGAACAAAATTAACATAACAATTTGGCTATATTTCAAATGAGGAAATATCTTAGGGTGAATTTTGTATAGGCCTATTTTGTTTTATTTATCACAAAGTTACTAAGCATGGGATATGTTTCTGGGTACTGGTATCTATGAATATATCTGGGGTATCTGTGTGTGTGCTCAAGTTCAAAAACTTTTATTTCAGTCAAAGATTTAACTAGCATAACACAATAACTTAAATGTGAAATACATGAATTTTAACTTGGTTCTGGTTCAGAACCCATTGTCTTGTATATTTTTTGCCACACAATACACATATGAACATTTTAAATCTGAGACACACTAAACTAGAGACACTTAAACAAGACGTTTTGAGTTTGACACTGTCATAACCATAACATATGCCGCGAACACAAACGTTTCTTGACAGACGACAACAGCAGAAGCGTTTGGCACGGTGGCGCGGTGGTGGGTGGTGTTACTGTCGGGAGAGCTTCGTCCTCAATCATGAAAATCGTTCGGGCAGAAGAGCCAAACAAACTCTGAAGAGAAAAACCAAATTTAACTCCCATAAGAAATACATGGGGAGCAAATTTAATTCACATATAAGCCGAGTGGGACTATGGATAAACATATGCCGATGCTTGATGTGAAATCTGTGCGTGCATAGCTTTACTTCAATCATGGAAATCGGTCTGGTAGAAGAGCCAAACAAACACGGAAAAGGCAACCCAATTTTTTAAATCATAATCATATACTAATTCAAAAAAACAATTCATCGCTAATATAGGGGTTACACATAAGGTTTCCCCAAGTAAGCCTAGAACAAGCCTTCAAACACCACTTCAACTGTTAATTTAGTTGGATGGACTCAAAGCAAACATGTATGTTTTATCATTCAAAATGGAACTGTCAATAAACGTCCAAACAAGATGTTAAGGTTATTAGTATACGATTCAGGCTAGTGTCGTCATTTGATTATATTATTTATGATCTATACTGTTCCTGTTCTAATATCCGTGGAATAATGCTATCAGCTATTTCTTGATCTACTTCATTCAAAAGTCACCAGCTGATCTTATGCCTTTGTTAATGTGTAAAATACTGCTTCCATAAGGATTACATTGAAAGTTTGAGGGTTCGTGGGGTGGATTCCTAAGGGATTTGTTTGACGCCATATAGATGTTGGCACTCACCGATATGGTCTATGCAAAATTTGAAAACGATTACTTCAGACGTCTAGGAGGAGTTTGCGTATTACGAAATGCATAAGAGTCGAAGTATAAGAGCTTCGCTCGCTCCGCTCAATAAAGTGCATTTCAACATATTAGACTAAAGAAACACAATTTATAACATTTTCTTGGTAATTTTGAGGTTATGTAACATAATTTAAGAGGCATCTATTGACCACAGTTGATCCACTGCCCAGTTGATCCACCCCCGGTTAATCGAGGTTCTACTGTAGTACAGACCTTCCTAGCTAAGTTAACCTATATTAATAGGCAAGCATGTTTCTTTAAAACCTTTTTTCTCAGCTCTTGTGTATGGCAGGGAAAATCTACACATACTGTTGGAAAGATATTTTTCTGTAGATGTGCAGAATCCCTTCATAAATTAAAATGGTTCAAAAATAGGCACAAAAAATTAATTTAAAATTTAAAAAAAATTAACATGAACCTTTTTGGGTTGCCATGCTGGTTATAAAATAACATTGCAATATAAACAGAAAATCAAAACAAATGGAAGAAATTCCAATCACATGTTTTATTTACAGCGTAGGCTGAAAATAGAGTAGTCTGTACATTACATATTATTTACATACATATTGGATGACCTCTAGTATATATAGATATTTGGTTGTCCTCCTTAGGAAGGATTGCATCAAGACAATGTCCAGTCGTATCCTAGAGATGAGACAAGCCCTGAGAGACAGACTAGAGAAGTTGGGTACTCCTGGCTCCTGGGACCACATCACTAGACAGATAGGCATGTTCTCGTACACAGGCCTCAACCGTGAGTCAACAAAAACACTTACTACCTCCCACAACAAATTAAAGTCAAAAAAATGTTTTATTTTTTTGAAAACAGATAACCGTCTAGTACTCTTGTGTCCATATTATCCTAATAATTTAAAAAAGTTAATTTAGAATAACATATTGTCTTCTCATATGTTTTAGTGTAAAAAATCATGGTTTTTACCAACATTATGTAACAAAAAGAATGTAATTTAGTTTAATTTGATAACAAAATTTAAAAGAAACAAATGGTCTAAGTCAAACTACCAGGTAAGGTATATTTAGATTGTCTGTTGTCTCATATTTAGATCACAATCAAATACACTTAAAACACACAAACATCTAAACAAATGCAATTATTGTCCTGGAGAATCAAGTCCAACCTTTCGATTGCGTTTAATGTGTGTGTGTGTGTGTGTTTTAATCAGATCTGACAAGTTCTGGACATCACCAGAAAAAAATAAATGTTAATAAAGCCAACAAAATATCATATAGTCCAGTGAATAGAGGTCAGTTAACTTACAAACTAGTTCTAAATTGTTTATATGTTGTCTAGGATGGTAAGTAGGTGTTTAAAATGCAAAATGCACAATTCTCCCCCCTCCGCGCCCGCCGCCAAAAAGGAAAAATTGAAAAAAATCGGTACTTTCTAGAGATTTTTGCTTATATCTCTGTTTTGTTGCATTTTAGCAAAAAATATGTAATGTCAATTTTGTAGACAATTACATTTCCTACTATAAGTTTAACAATATATTTCTAGGACTTATTGGTACGAAAATATTCAATTTTTTTAACAATAAAAATAAACTTTTTTGGATATTTCGCAAAATTTCTAAATTTAGATAACTGTAACTCAGTAATGGCATAGACAAAAGAGTAAATATAGACTGTCAAAGAAAGGTTTTGCGATCTGCCGCTAGAGCGTTTTTGCCGTTCGATATCAGTTATCGGTATTCGATTCGGTGTCGTCGTCGACTACTTGCCAGCTGTTACCAGCACTACCACTCTTGCAAACGAAATGATTACTATTCGCTATTGTCGTCTTCTGCAATCGCGTCAAAATCATAAACATCTTCTGCGGCTGTGTAGACATCATCATTGAATGTCGTGGTCACGAAACGTCATCGTCATCCACGATTGCGGCAAAATTGTGAACATCTTCAGCGGCCGTGTAGACATTATCGTCTTGCGCGATCGTAGAAAAGACGTGATCATTTTCCCCGCGGTCACGAAAATGTTGTCTAGCACGGTCGCGGTTTAAAGAACATCTCCCGCGGTCGTGTAGACATCGTGATCGTCTTGCGCCGTCAACGAAAACGTGATCGTTGTTGTCTAGCGCGATCGAGGTAAAATCATGAAATTTCCCGACTTTGATATCAAAATAAAGACTAAATCCCAACTTTTCATGACCATTTTGAAATTCAATACTAATACCTGACTTTCCCGTTTTCCCCGACTACTAGACATCCTGGTTAATTATATTTTGACCTTGCAAATATAAAAAAAACCCTTCCAATTAACCACTTCCTAAAATTATGGATTAATAAGGAAAAACTTTGAATCATTGTAATGAAACTACAAAAGTATAACAAATATATGTTAAAAAAATACAATAAAAGATGGTATTTAAATTAATTTATTGCATATATTAAATAAGTCAGTAAACTCCAATTCCGGGGGATTCCTTCAAAGTTGGCAACACTACTCCCAACTACCAAGTTGTTATGGAAACGGTCGCTAGCGCTTGATGCTGCAGCGGTGTGCGCCGTAACTACACATCACCCCTGGCGGTCGGCGCCGGAATATACGCTAACCGCAGCACAGCTGACAGTCTATATTTATTTCTTTTTGTCTATGGTAATGGCCTATTCTAGGAAAACAAGTATCACAATCAAATTTATAGGGAAATAATTACCTACAAAATGCATCTATTTTTTTAGGCCAACAGTTAGATGTTGGGGTGAAAAAACAAACAAGACAAATTAAAAGAATAATTGGTCTATTTTTTGCTTTTGTGACTTAAAACACAGAAAACATACTACTATAACCCAGAATGCCAACCGCATGGTAAAAAGCATTAAGTGTTTTGAGAGAGCTTTGCCTGTCAATCGTAGGCAGCGCCACCAGCGTTGCCATGCACTCAACATAGCAACGCTGGTGGCGCTGCCTACGATTGACAGGCAAAGCTCTCTCAAAACACTTAATGCTTTTTACCATGCGGTTGGCATTCTGGGTTATAGTAGTATGTTTTCTGTGCTTAAAAGTTCAAATTATTTTCAGTTTTAGCTTTAATTTTCAGTTACTAAAAAGCATACTGTACTTACATGTAACAGTGCAATGCTCATGATACAGGTACTATATTCCCCTTACAAATATCCACTGATGAGAGGAGGTAAGATACATTTTTTTAAACAAAATAAGATCAAAATAAGAAAAATAAGTAGTGTCAATGTTGTAGACGGTTAAATTTCCTATGTATGGTAATTTGTTTCTAGGACTTATGGATACAAAAATATTCAATTTTTTTTACAATAACAAATCAAACTTTTCAACTGGAACCCATCAGAATAAGTAGAGACGCTGCTCCCCCAAACCTGCTAAACACCATCTCATGCAGATGCACAACAGGCTGTATGGGGGCGTGTGGCTGTAGAAAGGCGGGCCTAAGTTGTTCCGCCCTTTGCAAAGTATGTGGTAGCCAAGAATGCAACAACAGGAATGAAGTGACCGTCGACGACGAAGACTACGCCGATCTACTAACTCCTATACTTGAGGAGGACAATGAAGACTCCGTCTTAATTCTCTCACCCCCTACTAAACGAGTGAATCTCCAGTAATAAATGTTCTAATATGTTAGTTATTTGATTTAATTTAATTTTATTAGTTATTAGTTTACTTATTTTTACTGTATTTCTCATTCTGATGGGTTCCAGTCGAAAAGTTAGATTTTTTATTGTTAAAAAATTTGAATATTTCCGTATCAATATGTCCTAAAAACAAATTATTATACATAATATATTATAGAAAATTTAGCCGTCTACAACATTGACATTACTTATTTTTCTTATTTTGATCTTATTTTGTTTGAATAAATGAATCTTTAAAAATGTACTTGCTGTGTTGGTGGGTTGTTTGAAATTTAACACCTCCTCTCACCAGTGGGTATTTGTAAGGGGAATATAGTACCTGTATCATGAGCATTGCACTGTAATAAATAAATTTGATTGTGATACTTGTTTTCCCAGAATAGGCCGTTACTGAATTACAGCGATCTAAAGTTAGAAATTTGGCAAAATATCCAAAAAGTATGATTTTTTATTGTTAAACAAATTGAATATTTTCGTATCCATAAGACTTAGAAACAAATTGTTAAACTTATTATAGGAAATTTAATTGTCTATAACTACCGGACCATTTGTAAGTTAACCCCCCAATTTTTGTCTCTATTTACTGGACTAATAAATATGAATGGCAATGTGTGGGTCACACTTTATTGGATGTGTTTGTGTGTTCTAGAGAGACAAGTAGAACACCTTGTCAACCATCACCACGTCTATCTCCTCAAGTCTGGACGTATCAACATGTGTGGTCTCACTACCAAGAATATTGACTATGTGGCTGAGGCGATACACCAAACATTAGTTCAGTTCCCCAACTAGTTTTGTTATTTACTTGGCTGCTATCTTGCCAGTCCAAAACTTGCAACTATCACTTTTATATTTTAAAATGTTATAATTATTTATGGCAAATTAATTTTTACATTTCAATCAATCTGATATTTTTGTCATTATTTTGGTAAAATCTTGAATTGAGATACTCATAAAAGCGGGTTTACACGGTACGATAAAACATAATGAGGTTGGGCGGGCCATTTACACGTTTCATCTTTTCCTCCAACTTTGGCTCAAACCACTACCGTTTGATGTATCTTGTTGTGAAGTAGTTAATATAGGCTCCCTGTATATTTGACGATGGATGAGTTACTGTTGTGGTCTGTTTACGTTGTTTGTGTTGCAACAAGTTTCAGGAGGAAAAGAGAACCTAGAAGTAAGTGGTGTCGGCATTGGCTACTGAAACAACAGTTCTCATGCAGAGTTGCTAAAGGAGTTAAGGAACAAATTATCTGACTGGAGGAACTACTTAAGAATGACTGAGGATACTGTCAACAATTTATTGAACATGGTTTCTCCATATATTAAAAAAAAGACACCATGATGAGAAAGGCAGTATCTCCCCATGAAAGACTTAGTGCAACGTTACGATTTCTTGCAACTGGCAGAAGTTACAAAGACTTTGAATTCACAACACTAATTTCTAAACCATCCCTCTGCAAAATAATACCTGAAACATGCAAGGTGATATTTGATTGGCAAGTGAGGGGCTAGAGGTTGCAACAATGAATGAGTCTCCGTTTACAAAGCAACGACTTGTCACTACGATCTACAGAAATTGGTGGAGATTTCCACCAACCTTCCAACCTCACGCCAACTCAGACAAAACGTAACAAGACTTCCAGTTTACACTTTCCGTTTTGCATGCAACGTTTTATTGTTGCAGACAAATCGTTACTTTTATCGTAGCGTGTAAACCGGGCTTAATTCTGAGATATTACAAATAGAAAATTGGTAATATATTTAACAGGTTTTTTTACAGGTACAGTATAACACATTTATTCAATTATTTTTTTATTTTTGTTTGTTTTATTTATATAATAAAAAAATTGTATGAGTGCCTTCACTTATAATCAGGGTTTTTATTCTGACTAAACCAGTTAAATTTAAGAAAATTGTTTATCAAGAAATGAACACTCATACAATTAATTGTCATGTCAATACAAGGTATATTTAGAATTCCATATTAAAAGATTTAATCAAATTATTTGCTTAAATAATTTTCATACGGCATTTTCATGGAAATGAATTTATTTATCAATTTTATTATTGTTGTTGTTGTATAACTATTATTATTTTGTTGTTATTGTTATGATTGTTCGGTTGTATACCACTATTTTTATAGATAAAAAAAAATTTATTTTACAATATTGTAAATGATTAAAGTTTAAAATGACCAAACTTATATATTTTTTTAACCAACTATCATTCTTGTCAGATAAAATATGAATCTTATTGATGGCAACGGATTTAAATTTACAAAAGAGAGAGAACACATTGTAGTGTTTTTAAAGCTAACAATTAATTGTTATGTAAATCTGATTGTTCAGTGTTTCTCTGTTTTGAAAATGTGCCTTATAAAACTGCTTGTCAGCTATTGCTAGACTAAATGAGCCTCTAACCTCTTATAAATATATATACATATATCCATTCTAACTGTATTAGCTTACACTAGTTTATAGTATTATAAAAAATATTTATTGCCAATGATAAATTATTATTTGAAATGCTACAGATTTAGCTCTATGGTGTTTGTTAACAGATCTTTGTTAATATTAAAAAGGTTTAGAATACCTGTTGCGTCAATTGTTCCTGTTGTGTTACAAATAGCGGCAGCGGTTTTGTGCTGCTATAAGAGCACATCTTCAGGTTAAACGTTAAACACTATTCTCGTTGATGTATGAGGTTGTCAGCATTAATATAAACTCTTCTTGGACATGAAAACACAAACACATACAAAAAAGTCATTAATGTCAATGTACACACATAAATTTGGCTTTTCTAAAACCTCCAGGAAAAGTCATTAGTCCAACTTTATATATTTCATCTCCAAATTTTTCATACATTTTCCAATGATAATAAGATTTAGGCTATAGTATGATTCTCTTCAACCGCTATTACTTAATATAATGTGCCATAGAAATCATGAATATCTCTGATGATGAGGAAAGACATTATCATCGTTTGCCGCAATACTGTAACTAAAGTAGATCAATCTAATTGTGTGTTTATTATTACTTAGGGAGTGTCTATCCTAGATTCTTATGACTAACTGCCACTATCAGTGGTTGAGTCAATATCACTGTGATAATAAAATTGTGCATGATACAAAATATTATATTTGCTCGAACAGAATACAGCATTTTGACAAGAAATTTTAATTTATAGGCTATTACTAATGGATGTATTTAAGTTAACTTTTACTGTTTGTGAGGGGTTAACAACAGTAAGCTGTCTATATTTGGTTTTACATCTATTTACTTATTTAATACGCAAGCAGGTTTTTTGTGACAATTACTCCTCCAAAACTACTGAACCGATTAGTAGGGGTGTGCGAATAGTGATTTTTGGGTTCGAATTGAATCGAATCGAATGCTTCATAATATTTTTGAATATTACCGAGCGAATATTTATGTTATTATGATAGACTCTAAAGAATTTTCCAATCACAGTTTTGGAACCCTACTAAGGTTAATAATTCTGATTTTAACCAATGTAACATTTTAAAATAATCGATTTTTGCCCTTACCTATTTTATTTGTTCTTGGTACAAAATGGGTACAGTACAGGGCTTCCAGTATTTTTCTCATTTTATTTCATTGATATTACTATAAAAATGAATAATTTCCTACATTTATGGTTTTCTAACAACAATTACAGTATCAAACACACATTTATTTATTTATTTTATTTCCCAACGGCATAGCCACTTTACAATGAAAAAACATTCACAACTTGAAATTACAGGAAACAAAATAGTAAAAGTTGTACAAATAGTGAACAATAACAATAGTAGAAACAATATCAATAGTAACAAAAATATTAACAATACAAATATTTACAATTTATAAATAGAAAGTTGGATGGCAACAAGTAGTGCATGAGTGAGATCAAAGAAGAGTGTGAAGTTTTTTTACAATAAATATCAACATTGACAAAAATGCAGGAACAAACATAAATATCAGTTTTACAATTTTTACATACATCAGAGACAAGATGAACAAATGCTGGTGAAAATCTGCGTCTGGAAGTAGGCCTAGTTTACGCTCGTACAGGTTCAAGGAGTGAAGATTTCCGTAGCACATCTTCTGATATGAGAAATTGTGTCACAGAACAGGTCACAGTACGGAGCAACACGGTTTCCAAGCCTGGCAATACAAGCTAGTGGGCTGTGGAAGTCGAAAGACGTGTTGTAGTGTCTTTTCGGGCGAAGAGTTCCCTAGTCCTAGTGAAAGACGGTACTTTGAAGTAAATTTTTGACAGGATTTCCAGACAAAATAGAAGACCTCTGATTATTTTCAGTAGGAGCATGAAGTCGGCCAAGTCTCGGCGCACCGCAAGAGATAGAAGCTGCAGTTCAGAAGAGAGAGAAACGACAGGGACGTCCGCGTAGTTAAAGCCATTGCGAACTCCCACTAAGCGGATGAAACGTCTCTGCAATGCTTCAAGCCTGTCTTTTTCACCAATATAAAAGCCTGTCTTTTTCACCAATGATAAAATGGAAGCTTCTTTTTACAAAAAGACCGACTGGAAAATTGTCAATAACCTTTTAACAACTGAAAACTGGCAAGAAGTACTAGCAAGTGAAGACGTGAATTTTTGTGCCGAGCAAATTACAAAAAAAATTTGGCAGAGTGATTGAAAACGCATCATTAAATATTAAAATTAACGCTAAAAATACAAAAATCAAACCTTGGATAACTAGTGGTCTTATTACTTCAATAAGAAAGCGGGATCTCCTTTTTAAACAATTAAAAAAGAACCATTCAACCTGTATCTTCGAAATAAATTCACCCAGTATCGCAGTAGATTACATTCCCTAATCAAGCATATAAAGTTTAATTATAACAAAACCAAAATTGACGAATCCGCGGGTGACGGTCGTAAATTTTGGTCAGTTGTAAACGAGGTGGCTGGCCGACCAAGTGCCAAAGCGCCGTTTCCGGTTGAGGCGTTTGTTGTTAACTCTGACACTGCCACCCCCCCAGAAACAAAACACATTTGTAACACATTTAATAGTTTTTTCTCTTCTGTGGGATCTGAGTTGGCAATGGGTATCACGGCTTCGGGACGACCGGAGGTGGATGACGCCGACCACGCGGTTGATTCTGTATTTGAGATGGTGCCTGTCAATGAGCCCCAGCTTTCCAATTTAATAAATAGTATCAAGGGAGGTTCAGCTCCAGGCTGGGACGACATTCCAGTCAGAATTATTAAAGAAAATTCAAGCCTTAATATTCCAATTCGGCACTTAATAAACACAAGTATACGCACTGGGAACTTTCCTGATATTTTCAAATTAGCTAAGGTTATCCCGATACACAAATCTGGGCAAAAATCTGTCATTAATAACTACAGGCCCATTTCATTGTTACCTGTGATAAGTAAAATTCTAGAGAAATGGGTAAAAATTCAGCTCTAGAAATTCAGCTGGAGAAAGAGAATATTATTACAGAAAATCAATACGGCTTCCGAAAAGGATTAAACACATCGGATGCACTCTTTGTTCTCATAACATTTATTACCCAAGAAATTAGTAAAAAAAATAAAGTTATGATAATATTCCTGGATCTTGCTAAAGCGTTTGATTCTATCGATAGGAATTTATTACTCAGAAAGCTAAACTTACTAGGTGTCAAAGATACTTCCTTAACTTGGTTTGAAAACTATTTTTACAGTCGAAAACCTAAACAGTTTGTAGCAATACGTGGAGTCAACGGTGACAACACAGACATTAACTATGGAGTCGTCCAAGGAAGCACGCTTGGCCCTCTTTTATTTTTAATACTAGCTGTAACCCGCAGGCTTTGCCCCGTTTAACTTCTTAATTTTCAAGATGATCTCGTTCGCATGGCTCAATCACGTCCTGGTTGAAGTTCGTCGCTGTGCCATTGTGAAATCATTGAGCAAGTCGAAAATTACAAATACCTTGGGGTCATAATTGACTACAAACTTAGCTGGGCTCCACATGTTGATTACGTCAACAACAGATTAAGAAAAATGATCTTCGATTTTTCACAGCTTGGTTGTGTGCTGTCTGTGGACCATTGCAGGTGTGTATACTTTGCGTATGTCCAGTCACTGTTACAGTACGGGATACTTGCGTGGGGGGCTGCGTCTGCCTCTGTCTTGGCTCCTCTTGCTGTACCTAGAAATCCATAATCAAACACATACTAAAAAAAGACCAAAGATACCCCACCTACCGTACCTACTTTTTCAAAATTTTCCAGTTCTTAACATCAGGAAACTATTCCTAAAAACAGTTATAACCTTTTCAAAAATAACAAAAGGAAAATTTTCTCCGATTCGCTACATTCTTATGACACTAGATCTAGAACACACATAGGCATCTCCGTTCTCAAATTGAACAATAAAGCACAGCTTCTTACCCCTCACTATCTAGCCCACATTATACGCACTAATCTCCCCATACAGATAAGAGAATGGGAGGGAGACAGTGTCACGGTTTTCAGCAGAAAGATCGGGCGCCGGCTTCTCGGTCTGAGCGATGATGCTGCCGAAGAGCTCATCAGATCCCAGTACAGGGCATAATGAAAGTCGATGACGATTCTAAAACTAAATTAGGCTAATAATACCAAACTACTTCAGTACTGGCACCCTCATTCAAGTACTTCAAATATTGTCTTTTTTTGCCAACAATATGGCAAAAAAAAATACTTCTTTTTATTTAAATAATTATTTGTTTATTTTGTTATCTTGTCTGTGAAGTGGTGAGCGACGGAGAAGACTCTCCCCACACGCAGATGTACAGCCTTTGTGGGGATTTTTTTTCCTTTGTACTTTGCTTTACAGCCACGATTGTAATTTTTGTAATTTGTAATTTTGGAAATAAATATATTCTTATTCTTATTCTTAATAGCATAGGGTGACCACAAAGGGCTGGCGTACTCCACAATCTGTCTCACCATAGCGCAGTACAGCGTTCTTAGAGCATCAGGGTTGTTAATCCCACGGGTAGATCTTGAGATGAAGCCCAACATTTTGTTGCCCTGTTTACAAATCCTATCAACGTGGTCGGAGAAGCCCATGTCATGACGGAAGAAAACACCCAGATCCTTTATACCAGTAACTCTTGGGATATCAACATCTGAGATTGAGTAAGATGTCAAGAGGGGATTCTTGCTGCGATGAAAGGACATACTTGAACACTTTTCAGGGTTAATCTGCATGTTGTTACTGATGCACCATCAACTGATTCCGTCCAGGCTTTTTTGCATCATGCGGCAGTCTTCTACTGAGGAAATCTCGACGAATACTTTAAGATTGTCGGCAAACAATAGAGCATTGGGTTCCACAGCGTCTACCAGATCATTGATGAAAATGTTAAATAGCCATGGGCCTAATATGGAGCCCTGAGGGACACCAGAAGATTGAGTAAACTCTCCAGATTTTACAGACCCAATTTTGACAACCAGAGAGCGATTGGACAAGTAGTCAGTAATCCATTCCATTCCATTTTTGTTTTGTCATGAGAGCATGAATCTCCCTGACTGCAAGCCCGGTACCTATAATTAAACATACCCGGGCCCCATGATGTAGGCTGAAGCTAATG